TCAAATAATGGGAATAATCTTATTATCAATGCATTTATACATGTATCTACTCTAGACTTTAATGCTAAGGTTATCACTGGGGATTTCAATTATCCTGGGATTAACTGGAGTACCGGTAGCTGTCAGTCATGTAATGAGGAGATCTTGGCAACCATTAACATGCACTGTTGGTCACAGTGGGTTCGTACCCCAACTAGAGGTGATAGTATACTCGATCTAATATTTACTAGAGATATTATCCCACTGTCTGTAGAAGTAAACGATGAATTTGAAAGCAGTGACCATAAGACAGTAGTATGCGCTCTCCCTATATATCCCTCTTCTAACCGACCCATTCAAAAAACCTGTCAATATAGAGACTTTAAGCATGCCGACTGGGACCTCCTGCATTCACTGATTAAGCATTCAGACTGGGATAATTTTTTTTCATGTACTAATCTCATAGATGCTATCGACGAATTCTTTTTGATCGTTAACTCTTGTTTAGATTCTTGTGTACCTCTTAAAACGTACAGGTTTATTAAACCTTACGAATTATATATACCAGCTAAATATCGTAATAAACTAAGACGCCTACAGAATCGTTATTTTAAGTCAAACGACTTCACGGCAGCTGCGCAAATAACAATAATTTTTAATCAAATTAAAGAGACACATAGGTTAAAAGCCATTAATGAGGAGTTACTAGCACTTAATAGTAACTCAAAAGTACAAAACTTAACTCTACTTCTCAATAAACGCGCTAAAGTAACTCAAAATGTTGATATTCCATGCATCCAGCATAATAACACTTTTATATACGACTCTAAAACTACGGCAGACCTTTTCAGTGGTATTTTTGCGAATGATGTAGGAACCACAAGTGGCTCTGCTTCAAGAGTTACGTGCGTGACCAGCAACTCCATAAAATCTATCTCCTTCACATGTAAGAAAATTAATATGGCTATAAATGCCCTTAAGCTTTCGCGCGGTCATGGAGCAGACGGGATTCCATCCTTTCTCTACAAATACGGTGGTCCAGATATTCCACGTCTTCTTCTAAAGCTGTTTGCTCTCTCTAATGAAACTGGTTCTTACCCTTACTGTTGGAAAACCGCGTACATCATACCACGTTATAAATCTGGAGATAAGACTGACATGAACAATTATCGGTCAATAACTATTACTCCAGTAATCTCTAGGATTATGGAGAAAATTGTAAGTGATGAACTTTCCAACTATTTACTCGCTGGAAACTTTATCAATGATACTCAACATGGATTTCTCAAAAATCGATCTTGCATGATATGTCATTTCGACTTCTTTAATTTAGTCTACTCTCTACGTAGCCAAGGATATCTAGTCTTAGTGCTATATGTGGACATTTCTAAGGCCTTTGACATGGTTAACCACCAACTTCTTATAGGCAAACTTGCATCTTATGGGGTTCAAAATCCTTTGCTAGATTGGATTGATTCATTTATCAGCAATCGACATCAAATAGTTAAAATTAACTCTTCATTGTCTAACGCTGTCCCTGTTAGAAGTGGTGTAATACAAGGTAGTGTCTTAGGCCGTTTGCTCTTTTTAGTGTTTATCAATGACATTTGTGAAAATTTTTGTGTAGGTAAGCCCCTTCTATATGCAGATGATCTTAAACTAGTATATTCATTTTCTCCACATGAGCTGGAAAATATTCAAACTTGCATTAACTTGGAGCTTAACAAGGTAGCACAGTGGTGCTTAAAATGGCAACTGGAACTTAATACGGCTAAATGTGGATGGATATGCTTCGGCGATACATCACTTAACCTAGAGAAATGGAGAAATGTTATCTAGGTTACATACAGTAGTAGACTTAAGACTTAGATACTCCCAAGACTTATCGCTTACAGAACAGATATCGAAACAGACCTCCAAGTCACAACGACTAGTAGGTTACATAATTCCAAACCTTCATAACAATGAATCACGAATTTTAATGTACAAAGTTTGTGTTCGACCTCTTCTAGAATATTGCACGTTTATTCTTAGCAGTGCGAGCATAAAGGATAAATTAAGGCTGGAATCAGTACAGAGACGATTTACACTTCGTATTCTTGGAGCTGATTGTACCTTAACTTATTCTAGATGTAAAAAACTAGAGCTAGACCCTTTATGGAAGAGGAGACTCAAACTAAATCTTATTTTTTTCTTCAAACTACTTAATAAACTATCCTTTACATCCAATCATGTAATTCGATACGCAGAAACTCCTCATTATGAAACCCGTAATTCCTTGGCACTTGTGAAACAAACTTATTCTAAATCATCTCTTTATATGAATTACTTTGCCTGTAAATCTTCTAGACTCTGGAATAACCTACCACAACATATCCGTACGATTAAATCACTCCCATTATTTGTACGTTGCATCGATGCATACTGCTCCTCTGAAAATGCATTGAATGCTCTAGCACCTGCAAGTGTATCTCACTCCACAAGTGTTAATATAGGAACTTTAAATGTTTAGGCATTTTAATTAGTGCATTCTCTGGATAAAACCACCAACTTGCTGTCATTTTATGTTAATACCGTCCCCAGCTAGTTTAACTAATTTGAATATCATCAACAGTATATCACTGTGTCACATGACATACGCATTTTGATAGATCTGATTGACATATTTCGGTAGTTACTGCTTTGTTGTTCCGTGCTCTCTGTTTTTGTTTTAATTTCTCTAGTTGTAGATATTTATCATTAAATCGATCTGGCACACGAAATGACTTTAATTACACCGTTCATAAATAAACAGGCTGTCCAGTTAAGAAGTATTAATTGTTCCCGGCTAATGCATTGAATCGCTGTAATACCCAAACAATTACTGAACTAGTAAACTTAAAACTCATATCACATGTTGGTTCTGTACATATTATGATATTTATATCAAATTGATCATGCCTGTAAACTAACGTGAATTCTGTAATTATCATTTTTTCAGAATATAAATTATTATTATTATTAAATAATTCAACCTTATGTCTTATGAAGGGTCTTTAAAGTGTCCCTTTTTCTGCAAGTCTGCTTTTCTTGAGCAACGCTTTCGCATAGTCTTTAGAAGGGTCCGAAACAACTGACACAAGACTGACGGTTACGCACGACTGAATTCACGAATCACATCAGATAGATATCCTACATTTCCTATCTACTATATGACATATTTTCTGAGAAAAAAATAAATACGTTCTTGAATTAGAGTAGATGACAGCTATACCTTTGCAATGTCCGCTTTAACCCTCCACCTGTTTTGGTCTTATGTCATTAGGAGTAAAAAATGCAGCACAAACTACCAACCAAACAACCGAAGACTGGTTCTAAGATCTGCATTGAGTGCAATTATATATAAAAAGTCTTTATCAAGCGAAAACATTAGTATCCAGCAGAATTTAACGTGCCGACATCAGAATCTCTCTTGCCAAATTTGCATTTAATTGCCGCCGCATCTTTCTAACGGATTTTGTCCAACACTTTCTTAAGCCAGAAGCCAGGATGGCTCATTTGACTTGGTAAACTCCTGCTATTAACACAGTAAAAGGTGAACTGGATTGATAACTACTGGCATGTAATCAATCTGCCTATCAGTATGACCGACATTCAACGCACAACTATAATGTCAGTGTAAGACAAACAGGGGAACGTAATTCTGTTTACATCCATAGGCCGGATACTATCAGCAACAGCCTTCTGTGGGAGAGAACAAACCAACATCCAGATGAAGAGGAAATTATGAGAAGACGATGGAAATGGATAAAACAAACATTACGCAAACCTTCAAACTGCATCACGATGCAATCCCTCACTTGAAATTCTGAAGGAAAGCGGAAAAGAGGGAGGTCAAAGAACACATTACATAGGGAAATAGAAGCGGATATGAAAAAGATGAATAACAACCGGAAAGGATTGCCCAGGGCAGGGTTGGATTGCGAATGCTGGTGAGCGACCTAAGCTCCTGCATGAGAAGTAATAGGCGTAAGTAAGTAATTCTTTTTACCGTCCCGAAACTCAAGGTTACTAAATGCATGAAAAGCTACTTGCGTTGGCTGAACATTCCCGAAGTTCGTTTCAATTACAATCTAAGTCTTCCAATCAAGTTAAATGGGAAGCCAGAAATGAAGTGGTTCGAAGATATATTAGGAAGATTATTGATATATCGGAAAGCGTTTCATCTAAGCGTGGCATAGTGTACCTACTTGTGATCTGGCGTGGATGAGTGACCGAGCCCCTTCAGCCAGCGTGCGTTCAGTAAAAATAATATGGCCAGCATCAATGAGGAAGACATAAAGAACTATTTATTTTGAGGGTTTATTTATTTCCAAGGTTCACTCTTACCTTTGTTGGGAAGTGATGACCCCAATACACAATTAACCAGACGTTTAAATCAACGATTTTGTCTTTGGTAAACATTCTTCTGATTGCTTGCTATGTTCTGCAGCATCCGATCGTATCTAAATGATATAGTGAGCCATGTAATACAATACATTATTGAAAAATGTACAATAAAGATATATATTGATTGTCTTTTCCTCCATTTTATCATCTTTTTCGTCTGTCCTGGAAAATTAAAAAAATTGAAAGTTCGGGATCATGTCGAAATACACTTGTACGTGTGTAAGGGTGCAAAACGTGCGAAAAAATCTGGTATTCATGCGTACAAATAATATATCAAGAGTCTTCACGAAAGTGTCAAACAGACAGCGCAAACCGCATCAGGGGAAGGTTGGCCCACCTTTAGAACAAGTCAACCCTCTACATCATATCAAAAATACTGGGATAGTTGGTATAGATTAGTGCTTCCCATGATCTGAAATTTTTACATTCAACCAAAATGCAATAATGCAAGTTCTTTCAACCAATTTTTGATAAGAATGTTGGCTACTACAGAACTCTTACCTCTGATTTTTTCTCCACACCCAATCTTGTTTAATTGTACTAGATACGCACAACAAGCGACTGACATTTTTAAAAACATAGAAACCCTTATTATGAGCGAACTGATACGACTAATCATTCAAAAGCTGAATGACGAGCCATTTAACAGGAGTTTTAACTTAATATCTTTTGATTCTCTTGAGCCTGTCCGTCTTCTACAGGTTTTGAATGATGTTCTTAGCGAAATAGATAGCAAAGTACTGGGAATTTTCATATTATTAAAGTTTTATCCAGCATAAAATTGATATCAGAGAGGAGCCTCCTGATAAGATGGCTGTCAGAATGTTTGAAGCTTTTAGGGTGTTTAGATATAAACTACCAGCCGATTCAGAAAAGCTGTAAGTATATATATATATATATAGGCGTGTCATATTTTTAAAAAGGAGCTTATTTAGCCAGGGTTTAGTGACTGGAGATAAGGTTATCATATACCCTCTTTTGGAATGGCTTCTCACTAGAATGTCTGAGTTGAAAAAGCGTGCATATTTAGCTCAATATCTTGTTAAAGTCAATATTCCCGTGGATTTTATGCAGGATGAGGAAATAGCAGGACTTTATCAACAAGTAAGTTGGATACAAAGTTTTGCTAATACAGCTGAAGTATGAAAACTCAATTGAAAACTTTAAAGAATCCCATAAAAAGTTTGAAAGCGTTAAAAATGGTGGACTAACGACTGCAGAAGTTAAGAAAGATATTTCGGCGATGCAGGAAGAAAAGGACCAGTTACTTAGACGAGTAGAAAGAATGAAAAAGAAGGTGAGCTGGAAATATATTTGTTATAATTGAAGAAAACTGTCACGTACTTTCTAGGCTGTTACTTAAATGCAGATATTTATTCTCTATCTATTAATTTAGCCGATATGTCAGTCTAACATATCAAAAATATACTAAGATAAAAGAAGAAATGTTGGAATGTCGCCATCCGCCTTGGCACAGCAGGTACGATGGAACACTACAGATCGGTAAGAAACAAGTGTATAACAAAAATTCGAGAAGCTCAAAGAAAATATGAAATGCAGTTGGCACAATCAGCACTCAAGCAGCCCAAGAGAATATTCTCGTACATAAACTACAGAACAAGGATGCATCATTGGATTCCAAATCTAATTAAAGAAGGGAGTTAATCTAAAATGGTAGAGGAAGATCAAGAAAAAGCAGAGGCTATGGATAACTATTTTGGGGCGGTTTTCACTCAGGAATCTCCTTTAGACAAGGAACTAGACCAAAATAAAGAGTCAATAAACCACCTGCTCACCGTGGACTTCGATCAAGACGATGTGCTTATGGCTCTTAGCACCTTAAACATGGAAAAGTCAACAGGACCAGATGAACTACACCCTAAAATATTGAGACACATTGCACAATTTATCGCGGCCCCACTGACTGTGATATTCAATATGCCACTTAATCAAGGTGTGTTACCCAAGGACTGGAAGGACGCAATCGTCACTCCCATACATAAAACAGGATCAAGATAAATTCCATCGAACTACAGACCTGTAAGCCTCACCAGCGTTTTAGTTAAAATATTGGAAAGAATAGTCAAACGGACCATAATGGAATTTATTGAAATAAATAACTTGTTAAACATAGAACAACATGGTTTTAGAAAGGATCTATCCTGTACAACAGACCTCCTTATAGCATAGAAATTTTGGATAAATGTGCTAGACAACGGAGACTCAGTGGATGTTGTCTACATAGACTTCAGTAAGGCTTTTGACAAGGTGCCAACAAATAGACTCTTATTGAAGTTGGAAAACCTTGGTATTGCTGGACCTCTCTTAAAATGGATTAAGGATTTTCTAGTAGGTTGTAGACAGAAGGTAAGAAAAAATTCCAAGTGTTCCATCTGGAGACCAGTACTTAGTGGAGCAACTCAAGGTTCCGTCCTAGGTCCTTTACTTTTTATAATGTATGTCAATGATCTTCCAAGTATAGTACAGTCTCCAATGTTATTATACGCTGACGATGTAAAGATCTGGCGAGTAATAACTGGAGACACAGACTCAGATGCTCTTCAGGCAGACCTAAATAATATAATTAACTGGTCTAAAGAGTGGCTGATGCCTATCAACGCGGCAAAGTGTGTCTACATGCACTTCGAGGACTCAAATGTTAATAGATATAACATAGGGGAAGTGCAATTACCAGTGGTTCGGTCTCATAAGGATCTGGGGGTGACAGTAAGTCAGGATCTTAAGACGACGACCCATTGCCGGGAGGTTGCAGCTAAGGGGTTTCGAACCCTAGACCTAGTTATTGATATCAAATGGTGGCCCCATAGCTAATAATAAACGTTTCCACGGTTGCTTCTTGAATCTGATCTAAGATCGTGCAATGAAAAAATCACTCGCCTATATTACTTAACATTATTTCTAGTATAAGTTACTTTTTCTTCCGTTAATAATGATGTGGGTAAATACGAGTTTATTTTCATAGCTGGAAGCTTTTCCTACCAGTAATACAATGTTTGAAATGGCGAAAAGGTTGCGGCTAGAGAGAGAAAAGGAGACCAAAATATCTAAACAAATGAGAGAACAGAAGTCAGTAGTGAGTTTTAATTATTAGTATAGTTTTTTTATTGTAATAATTTTGAAACTGTTTCTATGAAATCAATGTTCTTTCAACATGTTGCATTCTTCAAGATGGACAATTGCAAATCTTTTGTTTTCCTTTCGGACGACATCATCAGTATCAACGTCTAGTTGAGGCTTAACATTCACCTAAACTACAAGTCACTTCCACCATACCAAGCTAACTAAAATTGATGAAAACAATAACTGTTTCTTCGATGATATATTAGAGTATTCTTGTATGAATTTTATCCAACACCACTTGAGTTTTACATAGGTGGGTGATATTTATTTGCTCCATTCTAAATAAAAATGTTTAAGATGTGAAGAAAGGTAAATTCTGAGCGTTTTCACTGATGGATTGTTGATTTGATGAGACTATTGGAATGACTGAAGTGGATAAACTGTTAATTTTGCTCGGGGAATACATCTTCAAATATTAACCCCACAGATTTTAGATAACAGTGTTGAAACCTTTATTTGTTTGTTGTTTGTGGAAATTTAATTTACAAAACGGCACTTCTGTATATTCTATCAGCTTAATGTACAACATTTTCACTTATTCTGAGTCATATTCCATTTGGTATTTGACTACTGGTTAATAATCTACCCCAATCTATCCGTCAACAACTATTTAAAGAATATTTTGATTGAAAAATGATTCAGTGTAATGAAAACAAAAAGCATCTATTACTGTTCCCAGAGACAAATCGAAATTTACAATTCGTTCCCTTTGAATATATATAACACAGGTTTTTATGACACTCAGTTGAACAGATTTGCGGTATGAAAGTGAGTCAGTTACAACGTAGAACCAGGCACATACATGCATCGGTCCAACCTCATTAGCACAACAAGACGAATACCGTAGTTATAGAAGCAGTTAACTCAATGGTGTAATATATAAAGGAAATATTGTATATAAGGATATAATACAGGAAGGAAAAATTACTTATCATATTAAATATGAGGCACAAGGACAACAACTATTTCCACCAACCAACTAATCAAAACTTAGTCTTGAAGAATCAAATGTGTGCTAGTGATACATAAAACGTTTTTAACTTGCATTGTAAACAAGGGAGCTGGATCTTTATCAAATTTTCCAAGGCTATAGTTAACAAGGAAGTTGTCAAAATTTCTCTAGACTATCAAGAAAGCTCTTTCCCGTTATTCGATCGCATCACTTCTCAACTCGAATTCAGTTCATAACGTTTTTCTATCTTTCACTTTACTGCAACTTGTCAAGGATTATTCGAAAGATTGACATGACACATACATGTCAAGAAGCGGACAAGATAATCTGAAGAAGTAGTTTACATTAAGTCACGAAACGTCAGAAATACAATTTTCCTACTGACTAGGATATTAAAAAAATATATTTATAATTAAAACACTTGGAGTTAGTTTTTGATCGGCGAAAATTTGTGCGAACTATGGGAAGTTAATTACGACAACTATTTAGTGGGAGTGGGTTGGTAGTTAATTTAAATTAGTATTTTCTTTTTAATTGTGTTGTCGTTCTCAATGAAAGGCTTTCATTTTTTTTGAGAGATCAATATTAAACCCATCTTACCTACATTTTGTAAACAAAAGATACCAATCGTGTAAATTATTTAAATTAAAGACACATAATAGGAAAATTCACAATTCATAACCTACCATAGTGTGTGAAATCAAAATATTTGAACGAAAGAAAATCACGTAATTATCAGAGCTGGTTAGTTATTCTGCCCGTACCACTAATATTACTGTCAGGTCCCAAATAGACTATGGCCTGCCAGTACTTAGCACTCATCAGTTTATGTCCAGCACTGAAACAATGTATTTACCACTACTTCATCTGGTTTTACAGTAAACTAAACCGAGAAATGTAACATTGGGTTAAATAAGTCCTAGAAATTAAGTACAAAACAAAATCACAAAATTAATTCTATTGATTTACACTACTTACTATTTATATAAGTAACTACCAATAAATATTGTTTTTCTTCTGAAATGAAAATAAATCAATCTGATAAAACTGTAACAAAGTATGGTTTTAGAATCAATTTATCTAATATCATACTTCTGCCTTTATTTTACGAAACGATCAGGTCCGGTTGATGAAGGGATATCTGTTAAATGTGCTTTATGCATTTCACTGAAATCTTAAACCGATCAATGTTAGATCACCATTGAAAACCCGGCTGTTTCGTCCTAGTACGGGACTTCTCAACAGCGCTCATCCATGAGCCTGCACTTGGGACTTGAACACAGGACGTTCGGTCTCGCGCTAACGCTTACCCTTTAGACCACTGAGCCAGTATCCAACGGTATAAATGTCTAACTCCAATCAATCTGAGATATTGCTCAACTATTATCCATTGTCTCTGGTGGGTAATTGCTTCACACCAGACAAGGTTGAATATTGAAAATCATAATATCTGGCTGCAAATATACGTCTTATCTTGATGTGGAATTGCAGTTTTTTATAAAGATCTGCTTATTAGTAAATTGTATAATTTATATTTTCGTAATACAGTACGATTATAAGGGAACCATTTAAGAAACTGTACTATCTACTTGTTTTTGTCAGTATACTAGTAGAATATTGCAAATTGTGCGTGGATTGTTATTGCCTGATGACTAAACTAGAGTATAATAACATAACAGAACACAATGAAAATGTTGACTGGTGTGGGAATTGTTGGGGTATTCAGAAAATACCCCAGAAATTATCTAATGCTATTCCTGAATGAGAAGTAGTGTCATTTCCCCATTGGTCAACATTCTTCCAACGTGTCATCTCCTTATTGGTCAATATTTATTTGTGTCATTTCCTGAAGGTTAAATCTTATACAAATGTTACTTTCTATTTTATGGTACGATGTAGTCTGTTTGTTTGCTATATAAACAGTGTATATTTGAAATATATTTGAAATGATTCATATCACCGAGGCTGAGACTTGTGTTCTGGACTTAATTGGCTGGGCTAGACAGGCAAGCAGGGCCAATCAGTACTCTAGGCTGCTCGCAAGTATTTTTATGCGTCAGTGTATCGATCGATAATACGCTGCTCTCTAATAGGCGGATCACACGTTATAACAGGAATAGGTTGCGAACGAACTAGAGGAGATCGGATTAAGACATTATCAGTTCGCGAAATTATTGGCTGTTGGACTGAGACATATTGGTATGTTTAGATCACCTCATTAAAGTTCTGAATGATAACGGATTAGTTGTTAAAGACATTTACGGAATATAGGTCAGAATCAAAATCTTTTCATACTTTTTTCCACATCTATTCTTCCCTATTATTATTATTATTATTATTATTATTATTATTATTATTATTATTATTATTATTATTATTATTATTATTATTATTATTATTATTATTATTATTATTAATTACTGATTCTATTACTACCTTCAAAAATTTGAGATATGTCTTGATTTTATTTTGCTCTGTTAACATTCCGTCCCAAATTAGGCCGACGCATATGTGTGTCAAGTTCAATGTTGAGAATGACTAAATGACTGATTCTCTGAATTCATCTTTTCTTTTTAAACCCTATACTCTAACATCTAATCTTCCTTCCTCCTACTGGTACCATTATTATTTCAACTCTTTTGCTAGTTTAGTTTTTCCAAATCATTACAAGATATCCTCAGTGATTTATTTGCTAAGCTATTTATCAATGTGTCAAGACAAAGAATGAGTTATCTTGTTTTCCCATTCTCAAGTGTATTTACCGATTCAATAGCCTCTGTAGTTGATTAGACATTTTTTAGTAGTATAAAAAATCTAATTGTCTACCGAGATATTGTTATTAAGATTTTGTATTTTATTCGTAATTACTTTCAAGATTGCGAACACGGATCAACGTATTCAAATCATTCAACAACAACTTAAAGAACTAAGAAAAACTACAACTAATTCAACGGCAACAGGTAGGAATTTATGAAAATATGACACTATTTTTATTACATTCTGATAATTCAACTGTTTTGTACAGATAATTCTTTTACATTCAGTATACAAATAATGAACTTCGCTGCTGATAAGATCCTATAAGTATTGTAGATCGGCAAAATGTTTAAACGGAACAAACACAATTTCTTTTTGAATCATTTTCTTTTACACACTCACACGCAACAATGAATGCAGGACAAGACGGCCAGTGTAGCAACAGCCTCAGCAGCAATAGGTCTCAACATACATACAGGGAGAAGCGAGATTCTCCCCATTACAACACAGCATGCAACAATCCAATCACAATTGACGGAGAAGCTTTGGAAGATGTAAAAACCTTTACATATTTGGGCAGTATCATCGATGAACACGGTGGATCCGATGCAGATGTGAAGGCACGGATTGGCAAAGCAAGAGCAGCATATTTACAACTGAAGAATATCTGGAACTCAAAACAATTGACAACCAACACCAAAGTCAGAATTTTCAATACAAATGTGAAGACAGTTCTACTGTATGAGGCGGAAACCTGGAAAACTACGAAATCCATCATCCAAAAGATACAGGTGTTTATTAACAGTTGTCTACGCAAAATACTTCAGATCCGCTGGCCGGACACTATTAGCAACAACCTACTGTGGGAGAGAACAAATCAGATCCCAGTAGAGGAAGAAATCAGGAAGAAGCGCTGGAAGTGGATAGGACACACATTGAGGAAAGCACCGAACTGCGTCACAAGACAAGCCCTCATATGGAATCCTCAAGGTCGAAGGAGGAGAGGAAGACCAAAGAATACATTACGCCGGGAAATGGAGATAGATATGAGAAGAATGAACAAGAATTGGATGGAACTAGAAAAGAAGGCCCAGTACAGAGTGGGTTGGAGAATGCTGGTTGGCAGCCTATGATCCATTGGGATTAACAGGCGTAAATAATAATAAAAATAGTAATAAATTGGTAATGAACTTATCCAGCATCAATTTTAAACTACATTTACATATATTGACCATAATTTTTTTGTTTAATTCAAGTTTAGTAAACAAAATTGATCAGAAAAATTAGGTTCGAAAGTTCACTTAGATAAAAACAAAACAAAACAAACACAGAATTAATTTTATCTTGTTGGTTAACAGAATGAATAATTAAATATTACTGAATGGACAATAATGTATAATAAAATTTTATATTTAATTAATTCCTTCTTTCTAGGTATCAATGTCAAGGTTGAACTTGATACTTTCAAATAAATCGAGCATTGCGTAGAGGAGAGTTAATGATGAATATACTATTTTTTTATATCTCAATGAGTAAAAAAGTTGTATTTCTGATGTTTCGTGACTTAATGTAAATCACTTCTTCAGAGTAAATAAGTAACCGGCAATTGAATTTGTAGTGAATAGAACATCAGTGGGGACAATCGAATGTATTTGAGCACGAAATTACAGAGCATCTTACTAAAATCTGAGAACCATCTATCAAAATATCAATCCATCGTCTCAAACTTCACTCTTCCTTTTGCAAATATCAGTCCATTGTCTTAGATTTCATTGTTCACGTATTTTCACATTAACTGCGTTCCGTCCCCGTTTTTTCCTTATCGATCTTCCACTGAAATACACCCTATGCCTGACCACTGTTATATACTACTTATGTGGATATCAGTAACCCCCACCACACAAGTTTAAATAGTAAAAAAGGAAGCAATACAGATTATTTTTGGTACAATCAAAATCATAATAGATCTGAATATGTCAATATCAAGTTATTCTTAATCAATGTGAATTTCTATGACCTGTCACAGTGTATCAGAGTATTCTGCATTAGTTTCTTTTATATTATTTAAAATTGTGTTAATTTAATTATCGGTTATTTATTTACTCTGAAGAAGTGCCTTACATTAAGTCACGAAACATAGAAAATACAAGTGTCCTACTCATTGGGATATAACAAAAACATATCTACTATTAATTCCTTCTTTCTTTTTAGAATGAGTGATTACTGTTTGTTATGTGTAGAAGTGAATATTACTAATTTATATTCAGTATTTCTGGTTTGTAGTGCAATAAAGGAATGTAGTTGATCTGATCCTGATCACAATAGTTCAATTTATAAGCTTATCATTGTCTATTTAAATAAAACTACTTGTTAGTATAGACTTAAAATAGAATGAAACATTTTAGAACTTATTAATAATTGCCAAAATCAATCAATTTTAATGATTTTGTTTGTGACCAATTATTAGCAAAACTGTTTGTATTCTTATTGACTAATTTTCTTAAATTAGTCTATGACCATGTGATTGTATGATCTTTGAATCCATAGGTTGGTAGATCAATTTTTATGCTGATCTATTAGTTAATTGTCAATTCATCTGAATGTCTAGAAAATTTTGAATTAAGAAATTTTGCCTGATAAACTTTTTATTATTACAACTTCAATCTACTGCTGTACAAATGTAGGTAAGATTATAATTTATAGATAACACGTGAGCGACTCTAGACTGACCTTGACAGTGTCCACCTGATAACTAGGACCAAATGAGGGTTATAAATGAGTGTGAGGAATTCGAATTATGATTTCCAGTTGATGGTTAAGGTTAAAAATTAGATTTAAAGTTTTCATCACGAACTGACATCAGCTATAGTGCCAAGACTCTATTTACCCGAATAGATGAGTGAATTTTGCTCCAAAATCAAAGCTACTTAGCTGAATATCACTAATATTTAATGCTACAGTAAACATTTTGCCTAAGTTAATTTGATAAAAGTTTGATTATCTAAATGAGTTATCTACGAAGGTTATTGATCTTACTTGTACTATGACGTTAATTAGCCGCTTTATGTATATGAATTCAACATTGTATACACAATCCATTACTGAAATACAAAGTAATATATTCTTTTTTCACATCACTTTACAAAGATACTGATATATCCCGATGAGAATAATGAATAACTTTTATGAACTATTTATGGATCAACATGATACATATATTTTTATTGTATAATTGTTAAGTAACTAAACTATACATATTTATGTTACTTTTATTACAAGTTTTATTTTGACCTATAGATTATTATTATACAATTCACCATTCTTAAGTTAAGCCCAGTCTATTAATTACAGTCTCCCACATTCACAGCCACTTTTGGCTAAAACTTTTACAAGTGTTAATCTCTATTTTATGATTTGATGTAGTCTGTTTGTTTTTTATATAAACCCAATATGTTTGAAATAAATGATTCATATCGCGAAGGCTGATATTTGTGCTCTGGACTCGACAGGAAGGGCAAGGCAGGAAGAAGAACTGATAAGGACTGTAGAATGCTCGTATGGGTTTAGGTGTCATTGGTCCGATCGATAAATCACTGTTCTCTAATTGGCGGTATCATTGCGTTATATATTAATAGGGCAAAAAGCGACAAGTTAAAACAGATACCTGTTCTATGAACCGGTCGAATGAAGATAAAAGAAATAAGATATTTATGAAATCACTTAAAATAGTGCTTAACGGTGGCAAGCAAATTTTTGTGGTATATGTAAATCAAGCATACGGAAATGTAATGGTCATACAATATCATTGGATTATCACGTTATTTTTTAAGTAATAAATATGGATTTCCACTTTTCTAAAGTTATTCATTTAACTGAGCAGTTCAAAATAGAAATGAACTCGTTTTGTGTGTGTGTTTTATTTTGATTAACTTACGGTATTCTTAAAGAATATAAATAACAAACATCGTTATTGGAATATCACGTTTCAGAAGGAGGTTTGTGGATATTATAGTAATTTTAATAGTTGGGATCATGAGTCAATAGGACGAAACGGTCTTCCAGTGCTTCCAGGTTTTCCATGATGGTCTAGGTTCAACTGACACATGATCTCAACAATTAAAATTACTATAATATCCACAAAACCCCTTCTGATACTAATCAGCGGATGCTCACTAGTGACTGGCTTAAGGAAGTATTTCCTGGAGTTCTAGTGAGAAGCAGTGAACAGTGGAGTTTAACCGGATCTGTTGTGAGATAGTAACTCACTGAAAACAATGGTGGATGTGCCGCTAAATTTTGTGGATTATTTGAAATTAGATATTAACTTTTTGGATGCCGGCTCAGTGGTCTAGAGGTTAAGCGCTTGCGCGCGAGACTGATATGTCCTGTGGTTCGAATCTCGCGAGGGGCGGGATCATTGATGCGCACTGTTGAAGAGTCCCTTAATAGGATGAAACGACTGTCCAGTACTTCCAGGTTTTCCATGGTGGTCTAACTTCAATTGACTTATGATGTCAACTATTAAAATTAGAATATCACATTATTTATTTAATAAATAATAAAGTACAGATTTTCAATTTTTCTTTACAAAATATTCATTTGTTTTACCCATAAAAAGCATTTAACACATGTATTTTACATTTTTTTGTTTGTTTGTTATTTACATTATTTAAGTTCCTTTTCTTTTCAACTATTTTTATATAAATCATTTAGCATTAATACAACGTGTTGAAGAAGAAACAAAAGTTAATCAATATATGCTATCTGAAAAACTGCCTAAAGAATTATTAAATATGAAGACCTATATTGAAAATGTAACAAAAGTTGTTTCACAACCAGCTATGAATCAATCTTTTCTTGATCAACTTAATCAACAAGTAATTATTGTGATTATATATATTATTTTTGTATTGCTTTTTTTAAAATCTTCCTACTGATGTTTAGGACTGTAGTTGATCAATCTCATATTGGCATATATGTATTCTGTGCGGATTGTTTTGATATTGTTCTAAATCACAAGCATTATAAGTAAAGATGGATGGTGGCAAAGAGTGGAATCCAGGTTGCGCGTTTTGTCCTATTTGGGATTCGTCAGTTGCATGTACCTGAATCCCAGAGTTGATTTTCACTCCAGAACATGAACTCAATATCATTTGCTTCAAACATCATCATGTTATCCACTTAGCTGATGAGTCCAGATAACCATCAACTCTGGGATTCAGGTACATCTATCAGACAAGTCCCAAGTAGGATGAAATGCATGTCATGGATTCCACTGCTAGACACTATTCAAATATTGTAATCGTTTTGTTGTTTAATTCTAAAAACCGTAACAGATTTCAAATTTTCATAAAGCCAAAATAATCGAATATTGTGAGCTAAAATAAATTAATTTCATTTTGTATGCTCTAAATCTTACACATATTCACTGATTTATATGATTAAAAATATTGTTTTAAAAATGTCATTTTGAAGTGCGACCAACATATATAAAGTCAGTTGGTTCATTGGCTAAAAGAATAATATGAACGTACAAAACGAGAGCTTTCTAAACTCATTTGTGAACATTATACTATGTGGCTTTCGAAAACCGTATGTAAGCTAATCAATGGTTTAACTTTGGTATTTCATGTTAATTCTGACCACTTGGCCCCACTAGTGACATTCTTCAAAATTATCTATGCAATTAAACGATTTGCTTTGAGAGGAGCATGAACTAATCAGTTGTACACTCTAGAGGTGTCTTTTCAAATCTAAGCTATAAGCGTAACAGCGATATGTACAAGCCATTATTCTACCATTCCCCTTATACAGTAACTTGGCCGTTGAGAGATCCTTCTGATGTTTTGAATTTCATTTGTTCATTATCTTCGCTTTCTTATTTCAAGTCTATTCTTCATCTTTCTTATATACGTCAACTTGACTACATTCATAACATTCATACATTTGATTTCATTTTATTATTTCTCTTTAAACCCTCGATTGTTACGCAACTTCATTCAGACACCCGAAGCGATGTAATCCTCCTCCAATTTTTAAATAGACTACTTTATTAATTAGTCATAAATACAACTGTATAACTTGAGTAAATGACAGGATTGGAAAGAAATTTTTCTCCGCTATAATTATTTTATTCTTACTCAATGACATCATGAATTACTTTCGTCAATTATAACTACGTTCCATAAACATAGAAGATCAATATATAGGTAAACAGATTAAGCGCATATGTGTGAAAAAGAAATCATGATGCAAACATGTACAGCAAATGTGTGAAAAATAAATCATGATGCAAACATGTACAGCAAATGTGTGAAACTTGCTGACATAAAATAAAGTTGAAATGATTTTATAGATGTTACTCACCAAACAAAAACAACACACGAAATGGAATAAATTCAATTCATTCATTCTTTTTTTACAAAAATTTATCGAGGGAACTAACTGGATGAAATTCCTCTGAATAATCTAAATATAAAATTCTAAAAATTTATTGAATGTTTTCTAACAACTGATAATATTTGATACTAGTAGGAGTCTCAACGATTTATATATATTGTTTGCATGTTTATACTAACACGTTAATGTGTTGCAGATAGGGAAGTTGAACTTAGAAGAGAAGGAACCCGACATTTGCATGACGTATGGTGGAACATCAAAACTAATAGCAGATAAAGACTTTATTTACACTCGAAAAGACATAAAAAATACTTATGAACCAACTTCACCGATTTTTATGTAGATTTAACTGGCATTTCATATACATTTACAAATTCAGTTACATCTGTGGTGTACTATCACGAAACAAAACTAAAAAAATGAGTGAACACTCCCCTTTGTGGTTTGGTAAAAGTCAGACGAAGACAATACATAGTCCCACTTTACCACACTTGGTTTACTGTGGTTGTTGCTTCGAATGACCTATCATACACTTTAGTCGTTTCTTAACAAGTTCGGTCTCACTTCCTAATCCATTTCATTGTTATCAATGACTCACAAAATACCTTGATTAATTTAGTATATTTCTAATGTATCCATATAATATTACTGTATATTAGAGTAAAGCCTGAAGATGTAATTGAAAACAATATTATTTACTTATTTATTGTTATAATTTGGTGATTATTCAATAAATATAACATATACCTGTTAGAATAGGAATATAGAATGGATCTTACACTGAAATAATACAAACAAATACTAAATGGTCACAAAGGACGCAATTCACCATCAATTAATATGAAACAAAGGTTATACGGCACAAATATCACACAAAATTAAAAATAAAACGAATTGTCATCTGTAAAATTAAACATAATCTAGTGTTTTATACCTTTCTTAACAAAAATGATTATGTTCAGATTTTGTTTATACCGAAAATATACAAAAGATCTTGTCATTAATTAAGATCATGAACTGACCAGTGTTAGACCACCATTGGAAACCTGGAAGTACTGGAAGCACTAATGACTAGCTTCAAGATGGATTTTCTGGAGTTCTAGTGAGAAGTCCTAACCAGTGGGGTTCATCCGTGTCTATTTTAATTCGTTTACTCACTGATGACAGTGGAAGAGCCGCGCAATATCGCGGGTTGATTGAAGTCGGACATTAACGCCGTTCAATAATGGCTCAGTGGTCAGGAGGTTAAGCGTCAGCGTAACACTGGAGGTCCTGGGTTCAATTCTTGAGTGCGTACCACTGGGGAGTCCCCTAAGAGAACGAAACGGCCGTCCAGTGCTTCCGGGTTTTCAATGGTGGTCTAACATTGATCGGTTCATGATGCCAATTGAAATCTTAGCAATCTTCTATACTGATTTCGTCATTATTATCAGTCTCTTTTGGCATATGTGCATGCTTTGCGGATTTCCTCAATTTTTTTCACTAAATCACATCCATTGTAAGCGATGATGAAAGATCCAAACAACCAATTTATACTAACTAAAGTTCACCCCAAACTCCGCCTGGAGTCCCTTTCGGGGGCTACTGCCGGTCACAAGCCCGGATAAAGGAGGAGGGTTGGGCATGGGGTTAGCGACCCCATCCCGTAGAAAACTAACTCGCTAAAAAAACGCTAACCAGAAAGAATTAATCAAACCATTTAAACTCTGCCCTGGGAGTCAGGAGGTCTTCGTTTAGAAGAATTATGACGCCTCATGATGAAAGCCGAGTTTGTTCGGAAGACACGAGGGCGATGTCCCTTCTGACAACCAGAGCAACCATTTATTTAGGTACATGGAATGCTCGCACAATGTGGGAGACTGAGAGAGTTTTCCAAATTGCTGCAGAAATGAGGAGATACAATTTAGAGGTGCTTGGGATCAGTGAAACACATTGGATGCAAGTTGGACAACAACGACTAGCTTCAGAGGAGCTGCTGTTATACTCCGGACATGAAGAAGAAAATACCCCACGTACACAAGGAGTTGCATTGATGCTGTCCAAACAAGCACAAAATGCACTTATAGGATGGGAATCTCATGGACCAAGGGTCATCAAAGCCTCTTTCAAAACAAAGAAAACGGGGATTACAATGAACGTCATCCAATGCTACGCGCCTACCAACGACTACAATGAAGACGCTAAAGATCAATTCTACGATAGGCTGCAGTCAATCGTCGAGAAGTGCCCAACAAAGGACCTGACTATTCTGATGGGAGACCTAAATGCCAAGGTTAGAATTGACAACACCGGATATGAAGAGATCATGGGAAGACACGGACTCGGAGAAAGGAACGAAAATGGTGAGATATTTGCAAATCTATGTGCCTTCAATAAACTGGTCATAGGCGGGACTATATTCCCACATAAACGCATACACAAAACCACATGGACTTCACCGGATCACACCACACAGAAACAAATCGACCATATCTGCATCAACAAAAGGTTCAGGAGGACGATGGAGGACGTGAGAACAAAGAGAGGAGCTGATATAGCATCAGATCATCACTTGCTGGTCGCCAAGATGAAATTGAAACTCAAGAGGCACTGGACAACGGGGAGGACAATATCACAAAAATTTAATACGGCTCTTCTTCGGGATACTGACAAACTCAATAAATTCAAGATAACCCTCAGCAATAAGTTCCAAGCCTTTCATGATCTACTCAATGGAGAAGGAACTACTATGGAGAGCAACTGGAAAGAGATAAAAGAAGCAATCACTTCAACATGTCATGAGGTTCTGGGCCAAAAGAAGTACCTTCACAAGGATTGGATCACGATCGATACACTAGATAAGATTCAAGAAAGAAGGAACAAGAAGGCAGCAATCAATACCAGTCGAACAAGAGCAGAAAAAGCCAAGGCACAAGCTGAATACACAGAAGTAAAAAAGCAAGTGAAAAGGAGCATCAGAACTGACAAACGTAAATATGTGGAAGATTTGGCATTGACGGCGGAAAAGGCTGCCAGAGAAGGAAACATGAGACAACTGTATGACACAACAAAGAAACTCTCTGGAAATCACCGTAAATCAGAACGACCAGTGAAAAGCAAGGAAGGCAAGATAATCACCAACATTGAAGAACAACGAAACAGGTGGGTAGAACACTTCAAAGAACTCTTGAATCGACCAGCCCCACTGAACCCACCCAACATCGAAGCAGCACTCACGGACCTCCCAATTGATGTTGGCGCACCGACAATTGAAGAAATCAGCATGGCTAACAGACAAATCAAGAGTGGCAAAACAGCAGGACTAGACAGCATTCCAGCAGAGGCACTGAAAGCAGACGTAGCGGTAACTGCAAGGATACTCCACATTCTCTTCAGAAAGATCTGGGATGAGGAACAGGTACCATAAGACTGGAAAGAAGGACTTCTAGTCAAAATACCAAAAAAAGGCGATCTCAGCAACTGTGACAACTACAGGCAC